TCCCAGCGGTGGAGCCTGACCCGGCTGCCTCCCAGACGTGGTCTTTGGCAACTGTGGATGGGCAGGGAGGGCGATGATGGTATTTTATTTTAGAGGGAGCGAAGAAGTGAAGGTGCGAGGACTGCAGCTCGCTGTAATGGAAGGAATAACAATCGGAAAAGTGGGCTGGCTGCCCCCCCGCTTCCCCCCCCCAGGCTTTTCTCGCCTTGATCGCGGGGGTGGTCTTGGTTAAGGGGATGGTGGCTTGACGTGCCCATCTCTTTCCTCCCCCGCTTTCATTCTCCCCCCCAACCCATACTCTTCTCTAGCTCCTATGTCAATTCAGGGTCCCGTGTGTTATTATTTAAATGTCTCTACGTGAGCACAAAACAGTGTTTGCTGAGGATGGGCAAAGTGTGATTACTTGATCATCTGCCTGTCAAAAATAAATAAATAAATAAATAAACAAACAAATAAATAAATAAAAATAAAAAAATAAATAAATAAGAAAAGAAAAAGAAAAGGAAAGGAAAGAAGTAAGAAGAAAACTCACAAGATACAACCCTCGCTCACCCAATCATCATACCATACACTCACTCTGCTGGAATAGCCTCCATAGCTTTAAATGCAATTACCTACTGAAATGGTAGTCTTTGGGGGCTATTCGGATGGTGGGGGCTGAATTTAATTTTTAGTGTATTTTCGTTTCCTTTCATGGCTTTACCAGAGCTGCAATGAAGATAAAATCGAACATCGACAGCATGCAGTTACTGCTTTTTGTTTTCTTGATGTGGGACCCAATCAGGTGAGACATTTATCATATTTGACTCTTTTAATTCTGGGTAAAGGTGTGTTTCTTGAATGGCATCAGGGTAGGGTGGCTTTGGAGACGCTAGAGTATCTTGAAGTATTATTTCTAATGAAGAAGGGTTGTACCAAGAAACTGAACTATGCAGTGGCAGAGATGATAAAAAGTTCACTGCTTCATGCTTTTCGCTATAAATGCAAAAGTGAACAGAAACATTGTCTTTAAAAAAAAATCACTGAAGGAAACAATACCCTTTGAATGGCATGTTCTTGCAAGGAATTGATTAAGTTATATGCATATCACAACACCAAAATGCATTGAAGGAGTCAACAGTTTTCCTTTAAGCCACACAAACTGCACAAACTAAAATGATTTGAGTGTTAACTTAATTTTTCTTCTTTCTTTCTTTCTTACATTCTTTCTTTCTCCCTTTCTGCTTCTCTCTCTCTTTTTTAATGGTCTTGGCTCTTTTAGTCAACACAGAAAACCTAAATGATATGTGAGCCTTAAGCCTCTAGGTGGAGGTAGTATACAACTTCACAATCACAAACAATAAGATAAAAGCTTGATTTATTAATCAACTTTTTACATTATTCATTTGGATAGCTTTTGTTCTTAAAATGGTTATTACCATAAAGAGTACTGATTTTAAACATGCAACTAATTTTTTTTGCCTATGTTCTACAAACATGAAATAATTTTTATTGCATTCAGTAACTTCATCATAGCTGTAGTCTTTTCTGATTGTTTATCACCAATGGGCATCTTTTATTTATTGATTTTAGTATGCTTTTAAGATAACAGGGGACATAAAGTATAAGAGTCATAAAAATGTTCATGTAACCATTCCTTTTTTAAAAAACAAAACAAAAACAAAACAACACCCTTATTATATCTCTATTTCCCTTAAAATTTTTCATTTTCCTCTCTAAATAGTTGTCCAAGTATGAAAATATTTTCTAGAATTGAGAAAAATCTCTCCGTAAAGCCTTATTTTAATTGGAGGATATCTCATTAACACCTTAACACTGACTTTAGAAAGAAACTGTAACATGTGATTAAAAAAACACTTTTGACTGAAAATCTCTACGTGGAACTTTGTGACTGCTCTCTCAGTGATTGGTTTTAAAATTAGCTTAAGGCAGTATAGAAGCTTGAGGCTGGAGGATATGAACTAATTTGCTTACATAATTTAAATATGTTTATCTTCAATTGGTGTTTTACTGTTTTTCTGCTTTCAAGACAATATTTTAAGTTGGTTACCAATGTCTGATGTATTGTGACTATTTTTAGCTACTAGCTGTATAATCATTTAAATGCAAATGGACTCTGTCAATGATACTTTACACAATACATCTTGCTCAGCATGCAGATTACACTGAATCTTTTCTTTTAAAGGAGTGAACAAAGGAGGTCAATTAATAATCTTTGAAAATCCTCAGCTTAACCGTATTTCTCTCTATTGGTTTTCTGTCCTCTATTTAACCAGTGATGCTCATGCCAGTATTTTATTCTATTATATAAAAGATTCTCTTTATTTATTTATTTATTTATTTTTGACCAATAATTTAAATCTCTGATTCATTCTGGGAAAAACGGCAGTGCAAAGGGACATTCTGTTTTATACATCCTTTGCTTCTGCACCAATTTGCTGGATGTCACAAAACCAGGCCTCTGGCTTTCTGATGGACAAATAATGGAGAGAAATCACTGTTTTTAACCCTCTTTCCTGTGATATTTCGAGACCATTTGTTCTTTCCACAAATTTACCACACGCAGGCTTACAAAAGTAGCTGGGCATTTGAATCTCTGGGGGACCCCTGTCGCTCTCCTCCAAGTCCAGGCAGCGGGGTCCCCTCTAAGGCCCTCTGCTGCTCTGTGTGTGCCTTGATCCTTTCAGAGCCCACCTCCACCTCCTGGCTGCACAGGAGCCTGGAACTCAGCCAGCAGAGTTCCCCTGATGTCTATATTGCACTTGGCCATTGGGTGGAGGTATACCCAAAGTAAGGAAATCGTCTTGCTTTAAAAGAGAAAAAGACATAAAAAGGAAGACATCCATGAGGAAGATAGAGAAATTTAGTGCCTTGAAGGAAGCAATGTTTTTCTCAATTAATATTTGCATCACTGAAGAATGATTTCAGGTGATCCTTGGATTATGGTAGTTGGAATTACACTATTAATAGTGTCTGCATGTGATAATCTACAATCATTGCATATTCTAGGGCAGTGATGGCGAACCTATGACACGTGTGTCAGAGGTGACACGCGAACTCATCTTTTTGGTTGATTTTTCTTTGTAAAATGGCATTTAAATATATAAATATCAAAAATAAAAATCTTTTTTATACTATGGTTGCAGATATAAAAGAATTTCTATATGTGACATGGCACCAGAGTTAAGTTAGGGTTTTTCAAAATGCTGACACGCGGAGCTCTAAAGGTTTGCCATCACTGTCTTAGGGAATGAATTTTAGGGGCGGGGGAAGGGATGACACACACACAACGCTGTATAGTAGATATCTGGAAGAATTTTGACATCAAACTTTCTAATCATCTGGTATTTAGTACTCATTTTCCATAGCATGTTTACCTTCCCCATTGACATACTGGCATTTATAGAAGTGAAAAGAAGAGGAAAATGGGTTGCACTAATAGGGAGCCTTGCAATTCAAATCAAGAAAGAAGAGCATGGTGGTATTTTCGGAACACGTATATGTATTTATATATATATAATATATCAGTTTGTAAAATTATCTGTTTAGGTTGGTGCTGGCGAACATCCAAGAAGATGGGCCAGAAAACAACATCACCATTTTTACAAGAATTCTAGACAGACTCCTGGATGGTTATGATAACCGGCTTAGACCGGGACTCGGAGGTAAAAAGATTTTTACTTTCTTTTGAAACTCTCATGAAATAATGCCTTTAGAAGTTAAGATCAGTATGTATATTTTGATACATTTTATGTATAAATGCATTTCACGTGTTAAAAAAAAGATAGTTAATAGAAAATAAGTCCTGACCTTTGGCATGAATAGCTTTGAAATTAGTTCATTTACAATAGCTAAGTTTTGTAAACTTAAGTGTATGCTAAAGGGTAACATTATTGGGCAGAAATGCTTGTAACATCTTTGGTTTCCCTCACCACATTTTACAGATGCCTGTTTTAATATCAGTACAGATATGCAAAAATGAGCTGCATAAATAATAGTGTCTGAGTTGTATTTCAACACATACTCTTTTTAGGATTCTGTGATGATATTTCTTATGCAGCATGTGGCATTTCTAAAACGCAGCACAGGTTTGGCATTCTTGAAACTTTCAAAGACATTTTCCATATATGTGAGCTGTAGGCCTACATTTATTGGGCTGTGGCACAGTTTGACTTGAAATGTAAACATTCCTTTTTCACCTCAGAAAAAAATCTATTTTTATTCATGAAGGTAAAGAAAATTAGGCTTGGCTAATATGTTAAATTTTAATTATCTTTGAGCATAGCTGGATGATACTAAGGAGATTAGGTGAGAGTAGGGATTCTGAGTCAAAATATTGTTACTCATCCCTTCTAACGTGAGATATTTGCTTTTTTTATTTGAATCCTGAGAAGCACCTTGCATTTTAAGAGAGAAGTGTCATAACCAGAAATATGACACATTGTATCTCTCAGAAATAATTCAGTTGACTAATTTACACTTATTTTTCCAAAAGGAAAAAAAATAGAAAGGAACAGAATATTTCCTTAGTAATTAATATGTCTAATGCTCATAAATATAAGGTACTACTGTCCATGTTAGCATACATGGCCATGTGCTATTGCCAAACATATACAATAGAAATATGCCTAGCGTAAGGCTTTCACAATTCATGATAGACATTTGCGAGGTAGATTGCACTAAGGCAGATATTTTTCCTAAGCCATAGATCTTATTATTTTTAAGTAAATGATGTGCTATCAAAAATATTTGAGCTAGACCTTGGCTTTTGTCTCTGAGGCTCTAGGAGGAAGAATTACACTGTGGTTGTATGGTGGGTAGTAGAAACGACTTGTTGCAGGACATGGGTGTTGCCATTTATCTCTTTATATTTATTTTGTAATATTCTGTACATTCATTTTTACTGCCATTGTCAGGACTCAAATATAGATCCCTGTCACCATATTATTTGGGTTAATACAATAGATTAAATGGATCTCCTTGCCTAGTGTTTTTGTTCCCTAAATTTTATCTGCTATTATACATATTGTAATGTTATTTGTATTCTCTTATTCTTATAGTGCTTTTATATGTCACTCTATTCTCTTGATCAGATATCTTCCTTGGCTCCCCATTGCCTTCAGTCAATGGCCGTGAGGAGTAGTGGAAAGAATATGGACCTTGGAGGCCGATAGATCTAGATTGAAGTTTTTGCTCCACCCACACCCAAAGCTAAGCTGTGGCCAGATAGTCTCTGCTTCCTTTTATTTAAAGTAGCCATGCTGTATCTCCCTTTTTACTTCATAGGTTTGATGATAGGATCATATAAACAAAAAAATATACATAAAGCTGGTGCCACACACTAACAGTTCAACAAGATCTATTCCATCTCTCCTCCTTTAGATATCTAAGTTGCCAATCAAGGTTTTCTACAATCTACTTCTCTGGTCTCATTTTTTTGTTTCCCCTCTCATGTGTTCTGCACTTCAAATGTATCAATTCATTTTCCCTTGATAATCCAGTCGAGTCTTCTCCCATGGCCTTTGGTCATATTATCTGCCTCTCACTGAAATTATTTTTCCTCATCCTCTCTGATGATCTAAACTTTACCTTTCCTATAAGGACCACCTCAACACTCGTCCTCTGTAGTAAAGATTTTTCATCACTAAATTGAAGCACCCAGATTCCATTTTCTCTCTCTTGAAATTCTTTAGCAGTTGTTGGCTCTATATCTCATTTGGTACTTATTATGTGCTATCTTGGATTATTTATTACCTCTTTATGTATCTCTTGTTACTTTAACAAGATTGCAAGCTCATTGAGGCAAGATATTGTATCATAAATCCTGTGTGCCTCAGCAACTAAATATTGATTTGCATATTGTGGCCGTAAAATAAATGTTGATGGCTTGATTAACTTTTCTGTGACCAGTTAATCATCTGTAAAATGGAGCTACTCATATCTGGCTGACCATGTTGAAGTGATATGTTGAGCATCATGCTGCAGAATTACCGTAGTGTTGCTTAGTGAAGAGAACTTAACTTTAGACTGCGGAGATTCAGGAAAAATCCTGGTCCTGGTACTGAACAGTCCTATGACCTTTGAACACTGAGCCTCTCTGGGTCACATTTGTCCTGTATAGAAAGAGATTACTGATAGTAATATTCTTAGAGTGTTGATGAATGACGTATGCTAAGAATTTAGCACAGTAACTAGTATATAGTAGAAAGTTAATAAATAATAGCTAAAAGAATTAGAAAAACTCTCCAAATGTACTGGTGTAAATTTAAATTATTATTGTGGTTACTTCTGCATCCAAAATTCTTAGTCTGAATGTTCATATGTCATTCCAGATAGAAAGTTCAGGGAAATTACTGTGTCATTATGTCTCAGAAATTAATAAGGGAAAAATGGGCTTGATCCTATTTTAATATATCAAGCTGAGCATCTCTATTGATGAATAATTTGGGTAATTAATCTCAATTATTATTTTCTTTCTTTTGTGAGTTTCATATAAATGAATACACAAGAAAGAGCAATCAGTTTTGGACCAGGAGTTAGAAAAATTATTCTTTTCACCTGGCTGTGTCACTTACTAGATCTTATCTCGACAAGATACTTAGACATTCTGAGCGCTGGTATTTTCTGTGGGAATGTGGACATAATTGTATTTTATTCTGAGCGAAGGAAGGGAAATTGGGATTCATATATGTAACAAAGGTTATGCAATATATTGAGTGATAAAATTTTAAGATATTTAATGATTAATAATAGGTCTTCTTTAAAAATTAAGTCAGGTCCTGCCACTCACATGCTCAAAACCCTGCAATGGTTTCCACTTCATTCATAATTAAGCCGGGATTTCTTGTGCTGGCCTCCAAGGGCCTGCAGGATCTGCCTCTCTGTTCTCCCTCTGACCTCACCTCACCCAGCTCTCCTTGCTGCTGCTGCTGCTGCAGTCACACTGGCTTCCTTTCTGCTCGCTGAGCGCACCAGGACACTCCTGGGAGCCTTTTCCCTGGATCTCCATTGATCTCACCTTCTCAATGACACCTATCCTGACCAACCACATAAATACAAGATAATTTCTATCTTTGTTAATTTATGTCAATTGCTTATTTTTGTCTATTTTGCTAGAATATAGGCTGTTTGAGGTCAGGGATTTTGGTCCATCTGTTGTTTGGTGAACAAGCATTGGTAAGCACTCCATTGAAGACATCTTGAATAAATATTAATTGTATTTACTTATTTAATTTTATTTTTATATGCTACTGGGAAAAGGATCAAATATAGGACTTCTTCCTTTTTGGACTTATTCTTAAAATAAATGGAGCGATTGTCATTTAATTACCATATTAGACTTTCACTCTTAATATCAGCATATTTAAGGCCAAATTCTTGGTGAATTGGAATCTTTGTTACACCTATTACTCGGACTCCTGATTTAAGGTTAGATGTAATTCTGCCATGAACAAGCTGTGATTTGGGATGATTCATTTATCTGAACTGTGACTTCATTTTCTCATCTGTAAAATGGGAGAAGCTCTTACTCTGTTTATATTTCACAGGAATATTGTGGGGCTCACCTAGTAAATTAAAATTCTTAAGAAACCATAATGTGACGTACACTTGGTAAGTATTATATTGTTAGGAATAGCAGAGTTCTTCAAGGAGAATATCATCTATCCTTTAAAATCATGACCAGAAAATATTGCTATGTCTTGTGCATTTTTTGGTTTACTTCCTAGTGAGCCTGGAAACTTGAGATGGGGTTGCCTTTATATCTTATCTACCAAGACCACACATTCAGTAGTTAGAATGAATAACTGAATCAATTTTTTTCCTTTTGTCTTCATTTTAGTCATTGGAGCTAACAATTCATCGTATGGCTCATCTATTTCTATATTCCATAAAAGGCTTTCCAATTGTTAGCTGATGAAAGGAGCAACATTTGTTTTTTGGATTAATTTTATGGGGTCATTGGAAAAATGAATGTGTAGACAGGCCTTGTATATTTTGACAGCTAACATCCACAATGCTAAACAGTGACAACTATTAGAAATGACAAGGCTTGCTATCTAAATTATAGATTCAGTCTGGAAAATCTGGATTGAGTACCATGCTTAATTGCATTTCAAAAGCTGTTTTGAGGAACCTTTTTCTCCCCTCACCCCATTCTCTCATTTTATACTCTGAAACCTTGAAGAATCTTTCAGCTGAAAACCATGAAAAACATGATGTACAATCATAGACTTAGTGGCTGAGGGTGAATTTTCAACTTCACTCTAGGATACTTATCCTTAAGCTATAGGGAGATGTGTGATAGCATGTTCTATGCATTTTACTACCCTCAAATTTATAAAAATAAACTATAGGCTATTCAGTGGCAAAAATAATATAGAAAAATCTGATCACTTCCAGAACCTAAGAGGAGTCTGACCTCAAAATAACATCTTATTACTCTATAAATAATGGTTAAGATCAATGCTTCTGGATACCAACATCTTTGGATTTCAATTCTGTTGCCACCATATATTAACTAAAAGACTTTTAGCATGTTACTCAACCTCTTGTTGCTTTTGCTTCTTTATTTGTACAATGAGAGAAATTATGTGACATTGGTTTTCTTGGACTTACTCTTCCTCTCTGTAAAAAATCAATAAAATACAATTAAAAAAAAAACAAA